TGCTGCTTGGCCTGCTGTGTTCATCCAGCTCTACACCTTGTTACCTCAGATTCTCCAGCATCTGCAGTCCCTAATAACCTTGGATTAAACCATTGTTTTTGGCAACAGTTGAAAACTGTGTTGGGTCAATGCAGCATTTACGGACTGTAGGTATGTTTTGTACAGTACTTTTTCCAGGAATCTAGTTCAAGATAATGAGATGAAAAGGAACACAGTTTTAACACCCTTTCCTGCAGCTTTGCACCCACACACCCTGCCACTTTCAAACAATGCTGCGCTCAGTTCCAGGAAGGGAGCCCTGGGAACTAGACTAGTGGTGTTGCCACAGTGACCAGGCACTTCAAACAAGTTGTGTTTGTCATTTTGTCTTCTATTCATATTGCAATTAACCTCCCTGTAAGTGAGATAGCACGCAGTTCAGAATAACTGGTCAAATAGTCACTGGACAATCAATCCTGGCTTTATTCTGAATGACTCCAATCTTAGAAAGCAAATGCGTTGGCAAGAAAAGGGGGCAGATTATAATTGACAGCTTAATTACGATCATTGTATTATAGTTACAAAATATGGAAGAATGGAAGGGATTGGAGCAGTGAGCATTCAAAGATGGGGAGAGACAAAGAGCGAGAGGGAGACAGAAAAACAGATACTCAGGGAGAAAGACAGAAATGGAGAAGGGGGTGGGAGACAGCGAGGCAGACAGACAGGGAGATGCACACAGAAAGCGAGGGAGGCAAGGAGAGGGGAGAGAGACAGAGCAGAGGGTAGAGAAACCCGCATAAGCTCAGGCAGACAGTGAGACAGAACGAGACACACACACACACACACAGAGTCAGGCAGAGTGTCTAAGAGAGAGAGAGATCAAGAGCGAGACACATACGCAGACAGATACAAGAGACAGAAGAGAGCGTGTAATCCGTAACGAGAGACAAATGCACAGAGACAGAGAGAAAGTGTGATCCAGTAAAAGAGACAGATAAACAGAGACAGGCCGACATATACAGAGAGAAAGTGATCCAGAGCGAGACAGAAACAAGCACAGAAATTGCCGGAAAGCTTGGCAGGTCGGGCAGCATATGTGAAATGAAATCAGAATTAATGTTTCAGACCCGGTGATCCTTCCTCAGAACAGACCGGACCCGGAGCGTTAACTCTGCCTTCTCTTCACAGATCTTGCCAGACCTGCTGAGCGAGAAAGACAGATACAGAGATAAAGACACAGAGGGATCCAGAAGGATAGAGAGGGAGCTGTCTTGTTAAAGCCTAACCCTAAAGTACGCCAGGAGGCTGTTAGCCCATCATTCGGGCTGCATTTGAATTCCTGGTGCGTCGGTCTAAAGTGATTTAAACACCCATCTGAAAAGGTAAATATAGATATCCTTCTCCACATCATTCCCTCCCAAACACTGGGATTATACTTACCGGAATACACATGTTCCGAGCCTTTCTCCAGAGCACTGGGCTCGCTGGCGATGCTGCTGCAGCCTTTGGCAATGCCCGGCTGAGGAGCCTCTGTGTCGGTGTTGGTCAGCCACGTTGACTCGGTCTCCCTGGTCCAGCTCTCGTAATACCGGGGCTCGATGGTGTCAGCACGGCTACCGCCACAGCCCATCCCGTCCGCTCCAAGGCGCGGATCCCAGCTGGAAATGCACTCTCCGTGCAGCCAGTCACTCCGAATCCAGGGGGAGCACGGCAAACCGGCCCGCTGCAAAACTGAAGGGAAACATCATCGCTACCTGTGTGTGTGTCTGGATGCTCTAATGAGATCCCCGCACTCTCACCATGGTGGGAATAAAGAGATCCTGACGTCAAGGATGCTGTGCTGAATAAATCCAGCACCTTTTAATTCTTCGACCGAAACACCTCACTGACCTTCCCAGTCTTTTTTTAGAAAACCCTCAGAAGGCTGGCACTTGCCGCAAATTGTGAAAAAGCCCGCCAGCAGTATCGATTTGTCTGCCGTGACCAAAGACAAGGCTGCTGGAAATACAAAGTCCGTGGTAAAACTGCCAGACGTCAATTTCCAGGAGTGCAGAAGGCTGGCTCTCGCTTATTGGTTTCAACGTCTTTTTTCATACGTTGGAATCGAGTTTATTCGCAATTTTGCAAGCGCATATCCTGCACCATGAATGCAGCACAACAGACTGTATTTAATTGCTGCTCGAGGACTGCGGTGTGCTTCTGCATTGCAATGATCAATATAGCTAGATTTTAAAGCTGCTTCAACAATGCAAATGTCGAAGCACAAGGTGATTAGGGGTCAATGGTGATATCACTGGACCAGGGACCAGTAATGCTGAGGTCTCGATTAACACTTTAACGACAGGGTTCAAATTCCACCACTGGTACAAATTAATGATTAAATCTGTAATATTTATATGCGACAATACATAATGCATAGGATGAAAAGGTAGTCCATAATGGTTCCCACCAAACTATCGAATGCCATAAAAAATATCTGCTTCTCCAATGCTATTCTGCTTTTGTTACCTGGTCTGCTCTACATGTGACTCCAGATCCACAGCAATGTGGTCAACTCTTAACTGCCCTGTGAAATGGGCAAATCACTCAGTTACAGGGCACCAATGGATAGGCAAAAATATTGGCACTGCCAGTGACACCCACAGTTCTTGAAAGAGATTTTAAAACATGTATGGAACTATAGAGTGATGCCTCACATGTCCAATTTCTCCCTTACCTCTCTATTTCTGATTGTAGTAGTGCTGCGAAGTGGAGTCACTGAACAAGGCAAGTGAATAGACACATGTGAGTGAGGTGGGGAGGGGAAAATCATGTGGAAAACCCTCATGTAGAGGCTAATGGCTGAATTAGAATAATATAGCTGGGGTTTTGTAGATAAGACCATAGATTAACCTATAATTAATGTAACAGAAGTCAGGGTCTGGAATGCTAGAATTACCTTTAATAGCAGTATTTAATATGAAAGTCTAATAAATATAACTTTATCTACTATTTGAGCTTGAAGCTAGAATCCACAATCCATTATGAATCATCTTTTCATCTCAGCATGCTTTGGTTTTGTTCTCCACAATAATTCTTCATTGTTAACTGTATCTGATAGTGTCATCAAGTTCAAATAGTAGATTAATTCTCTTGTTCATAATGGATTATGGGTTCCAGCCTGAAGCTCAAACAATAGATAAAGTTCTCCACCACTGTAGTGTCAGGATGATGGTGCAATGAATACAGGTAATCTATCCATGGACAAAAGGAGAGAGTCACTGTCAAGGTGTACCTCCACCTCTTCTGGAAGTGAGCAGAGAGTGCCACAGATAGAATACCAGATGCAGTTTACTAGGTTGCATTTCTCTTGTATATTTTATGAGCAGAAACTTATTGCCTTACTTATTGTACTCAAACTTTCTAAAATTTATCATTTGAAAATCTTTTATCATTTCATTTGATGCAACACTGTGAGTTTGGGTTCAAGATAGACTGGTCAGCAAGAAGGCAAAGTCAAGGATGGTCTTCAAGCTGAGACTTCAAAAAACACTATTTATTAGACTTTCATATTAAATACTGCTATTAAAGATTAATCTAGCATTCCAGGTTCTGACTTCTAGTTACATTCATTATAAGCTAATCTATGGTCTTTGTGTGTTCACATCCACTAGCTTTGTCTTTCTTCTGGTGAATCTTATTCTAGTGTATCTTCCAGAATATTGCTTTTTGTGGTTTATTGGTGATAGCAGGTAGGAATGTTGAAGATATTAGATGGCGTGCCAGTCAAGTAGGCTGCTGGCTCCTGCATGGTGTCGAGACTCTTGAATGTTGCTGGAGCTGCACTCATCCAGGCAATGGGCTGTGTTCCATCACACTCCTGACTTGCGCTTTGTTGATGGTGACTTTGGGAATCAGGAGTGAGTTATTCATCGAAGTATTCCTAGCCTTTGACCTGTTCTTTTGGCTGTAGTATTTGCATGACTAGTCCAATTCAGTTTCTGTTCAATGGTAACCCCCAGAATGTTGATAATAATCTTATTAATACCTTAAATTCAACTGCAAAATAAAATATTTAGCTATTTTAAAGGTAAAGATATTAAATTTAAATGATTAATAATTGGTCAACTTTCCATCTGTATCTAAATTAGCCATTTTCCAATGAATATTGCAATAAAATTAATGAAATATGAAAGAATCCTTGAGCAGGAGAATCCTGCAGGTCTCTGAAGCATGTTTTTAATGGTAATATCAGTACCAATGCATTTACAACAACAATATGAATTGACATAATAAAGTGTCCCAAGGTGTTTAAAAGCTGAATGTGAATGGAGTATTGAACAAGAATTTCTCCTCAAACATCAGTGTCTATGAATTATGAATTAAGATTCAGGGTTGGTTGATTAGCTTATCAGATGGTAATCAAATTGAAGGCCCATGTGGCATTATAAATGAAAGAAGCAAAGTTTAGTTGTTCGTCCAGCACTTCAATGCAATCTGCTTTCCTGGTAACATTTCAGTATATCAGTTGCTGTCAGTGCTTTCTTTTGCTACTGCTTATTCTTCAGCACCTTGTCACACCGATGTTGACTGAAAATGAATACAAAGTTGAACTGACATCATAACTTGAAAAAAAAATCTCTCTAGATATTGACTTCTTTTAGATGGTGAATTACAAAACACATTGAACATCATTATATTCTTGTGTCAATGATGTCCTTCAGTTATTATGGAAGAAGTAATAAAATGGATATTCCTGTTGCTGCTTAATCATTTGAACTTGCCATTACGTATTATGAAAATGAATAGTTTATGTCACTAAGAGCAGAGCTTATGTTTGCTATTTAACTATATAGAGGAAGAAACCCTCATTCAAACATATTCTTTCCGTGTGTTCAGTCTAGCTAAAGATTGGTTTTGTGACCCTTTGTTTCCCACAAATACATCCTCATCCACAAGGTTATCAACTAAAATGCCAGAATATTTATCCATCCAGATTCTGACTTATAACAGGCCATGGATGACACTCTTAAAACAGCGACATCAGTGCTCTCATGTTACATGGAATATTTGAGCATCGCTGCAGAGAAGTACATGTAGAAAGATTAAAACATGTAAAAAGATTAATACAGTATGGTATTCATGGGGTATGAATAAAAAGAACAATGCAAAATTATGAAAGAAAACTAGTGCAAAATATAAAAATGGATAACGAAAGCTTTTATATGTAAAATGAAAGAGAATAGCTAAAGTGATTGTTGGTCCCTGAGAGGAAATGAGACTGGGGAGTTAATAGTAGGGAGCACACAAATGGTGGCGACACTAAATTAATATTTTACCTCAGTTTTCATGGTGGAGGATACTGGTACCATCCCAATGATAACAAGTAATGCAGAGGTTATAGAAGGGGAGGAACCTAGAACAATCATCATCACTAGGAAAAAAACCATTGGGATTGAAGGCAGATAAGTCCCTAGCACCTGATGGCCAACACCCTAGGATCTTAAAGGAAGTGGCAGTACAGTTAGTGGATCCACTGGTTATAATATTCCAAAATTCCCTGGAGGCAAGAAAGGTTCCAGTGGATTGGAAAAATGCTAATATAACATACTTTATTATAAAGGGAGTGAGGCAGAAAGTAGGAAACTATAGACCAGTTACTTTAACATTTTTCACTGGAAAGTTCTTAGAATCCATTATTGAAGTAGTAATAACAGCACCTTTGAAGAGTTAAAACACAATCAATCAGAGTCAGCATGGTTTTGTGAAGGGCAAATCATGTTTGACTAATTTGTTAGAGTTCTTTGAAGATGTAACATGCAAAGTGGATAATGGGATGCTGCAAATGTATCATATCTGGACTTCCAGAAAGCATTTGACAAAATGCCACACACAAGGTTAATACACAAGGTAAGACTGCACAGGGTTAGGAGTAATTTATTGGCTTGGAGAGATGCTTGGTTAACCAATAGAAAGCAGAGATTCAGGATAAATGGGTCTTTTTTCTGGTTGGCAAGATGTAATTAGCTGTGCATCACAGGGTTCGAACCTTGGGCTCCAACCATTCACAATCTATGTTAATAACATGGATGCAAGGATAGAATGTACAATAGCCAGATTTGCTGATGATACTAAAATAGGTAGGAAAGGAAGTTGAAATAAAGAAATAAAAAAAATTACAAATAATATGGTTAGGTTAGGTGAATGGATCAAAATTTGGCAGATGGAGTTTAATGTGGATAAGTGTGAGCTTAACCGTTTTGATTGGAAGAATAAAAAGGCAATTTATTATCTAAATGGGGAGAACAGAGTGCTTTGATGAAGATGGTTCTTGTGTCCTCATACATGAATTGGGGAGAAGGCAGGAGTATGGGATTCAGAAACATACCAGCCATGATCAGTGGGCTGATTGGCCTAATTCTGCTCCGATATCTTATAGTTTTATGGTGTAATCACAGAAAATAGCATACAGGTACATCAGGTATGGAATTTTGGCATTTATTGCGAAAGAAATGGAAGTGATATGTAGGGAAGTGTTGCTGCAGCTGTACAAGGCGTTAGTAAGACAGCACCTGGAGTATTGCATACAGTTTTGGTTTCCCTACTTGAGAAGAGATGTAACTGTATTAGAAGCAGTTCAGAGAAGGTTCATGAGATTGATTTCAGAAATGAGAAGTTCATCTTATGAAGAGAGACTGATTAGTTTAGGCCTATATTCTCTAGTGACTAGAAAAATTAGAAGAGGTCTAATCAGGATATATAGATGCTAAAGGGGGTTCATTCAAGTCATTCCTCTAGGATACGTAAAACCACTTTGTAATTAATGAAGAACCAAATATATGGTGAGAATGAGGATCTTAAGGAATGTGTATAAGTAAAGAAATGGTACTGGAAACATTAATAGGAACAAATGCCATAAACCTCACAATCTCCATCCAAGGATTTAAAGGAGATATGTTTTGGCTTTGATCTTTCAGAATTCTTTTAATTCTAGAATAGTTCCCAATGATTGGCATGGAACCATATTACTTGTTCCTTAAGCCAACATGTGGTAACAGTGGTAAAATGCTAGGGCCTAATATTAGATGCACAGTGGCAGCAGTGTGTACTATCTACAAGATGTATTGCAACAACTCACCAGAGCACCTTCC